ATAGACAGCTACTACTAAACAGACAGACAGACAAAAAAAAATATTGGTTTTTAGGCATAGTACCTATGCCTAACCAACCTGCAAATAACCGTGTAAGCATTAAAAGAAAACCTGTTATTTTGACATTACAAACAGACACTTCAATTTTACTTATTTGTATTGATAGCCTCTAAGTCTATCTCAAAAGGACATTAGAGAGCTTCCAAGGGGGTTACTTGAATGTTTTATTTCTTTAACTAGCTGAGACCCGCGGTGTTACCCGCGTTTGTTGTTAAAACCGCGAGCAACGCCGCGGGGCGAAGCTAGTCTAAAAAAAGTAGCCTAAGTTACTCCTTATGTCATCAGCTATCTGCCAGTGAAAGTCCCGTCGAAATCGGTCCAGTCGTTCCAGAGATTACCCTGAACAAACAGACAGACAGACAAAAATGGTAAAAAATGTTATTTTGGCATATGTACCGTGTAAACATACATATGCATTTAGTAAAAAGCGGTTATTTTAGTATTACAAACAGACACTCCAATTTTATTTATTTGTATAGATTGAAGTAGGAATTCATATTGAAAAGTCTCCACCAAATACATTTCATTCATTCATGATCGTGTCCTATGGAAATACACTATTTTAAAAACAGTATACTTAAGATTTTACTACTGTTTTAAACAAAACCTTAAACAAAAGATCCTAAAAGTACCAATTTAAAAATTTTAAATTGCCCGAATGGTAACCAAACTCGTCCTTGTAGGTGCAATGATGAAAATTAAATGGTATTAATTTTGATAATTTTGTCTTCAACTTTCTTAGTGGTAATAGGTTAATAATATCCTTAATTTGATCCTATCATATACGTGTTTTTGATATTGTCCTTAAATAGAAAACAAAAATATCTGTAACAGAAGGTCCCGTCTAACCTTTTCAAGTCTATTTCAAAGCGCTTGAAGCAACTTGGGAACTAAGTGGTTGTCGTCCACGATGCTGCAGCGCTGTATTTGCTTATGGATACGACACAATGCTTGTTATTTGTTAGAGCGTGTCTTCTGTGAATTACTTCTGTACTTTCATTGTTGTTGTTGGGTTTGAGACATGTTATTACTTCATAACTTTATGTTTATGTATCTAATGTGTTATGTTATGTTATTTTTAGTTCGTTCTGTTATATGTATATGTAACTAAAGAGTTACTCTTGGGGAAATCAATAAAATTAATGTTGACTATGATTAATTGGGCTTACTTAATAAGCATAAGGCGGACTTAATGCCTGAGGCATTAAGTCCGCCTTATGCAAAATGTTTGCAGGAAGGCTCAATAAATAAATACTTAAGTAATATTAATATCAATACCTTTTTCTTTGTTTAACACTAAAGTTTTTTTTTAATAATAATTTCACATATCTCACACACGGTCGTCTGATCCCAAGCTAGGAAGAGCCTGTACTATGGAACCCAGACTGCCGATAAACAAATCTATATGTGTCCAAACACATACATATTACAAGTATAGATATATAACACTCAGATACAGAATAAATGATCATGCTCATCAATTATTTGTCCTGGGTGATGGGAATCGAACCTACGACCTCTGGCCTAGCAATCAGGGTCTAAAACAATATTACTTAATATAATACTAAGTCTACTCGAAGACATCAGCTCTAATTCCCCATCAAAATATCAAGACATGATAGCTTACTTTAAACCGCCAACATAACAGTTTGTATGCATTACACATTCTGGAGTTAATCTAACCACCTTAGTTTTGGCATCGTGTTCGGTTCGAGCCCCGTCTGAGGCTAATCCTCCGCGCAGAAGCCAGATAAGAACGATTACATAACTGGAATTTGCACACGTTTGGTTTAACGAGGATTTCGTTATCTGGAACAGTATGTAAAAATCCGTGTTCACTAAGTATCGAGATTTTTTCACTATGCCTGATAGTTTTATAATAAGGTTTTTTATCAAAATATTTTTTAAAGCTGGAAATGTATATAAATTTATTTCTATTACTGTCGTTTACAGAACTTTGATATCGCCTGTTACCTACCTACTGGGGTTGTTTAGGTCTGATAGAAGTCGCTTCACATCCAAAATCGAAGTTACTACTACCCAAACTAGTTTTGGAAAAAGGCACGGAGAAAGAAAGCCAACCAAGTAAAACATTAAAATTAAGGTAAAACCTGAAACTCGACCTTTGGTTATCAACACGAAAGCATAACTCAACCCAAGCATCTTCGCCTATAAAAATAAAACCAATCTCAACTACCGCACATATCTAATAAAACCCATTAGTGAGGTAGTCGTGACACTTCAAATAGTTAGATAATGCGTGGCGTAGGTCGGCACGGTTTAACAATATGGGTAATGGCCGCCGTGATAACACCGGCACCTTAGATCCCGACACGCCTGTCAAGAATCAACTATTGGAACACGTCACAGACAATATTATGTTGGTTATGAATTCTTGGATTTTCTTTTTTTATTTCAAATTTGGAAAATAAAATGACGGTGTATTGTTTTTAGTCTGTGGCAAATTGCCTCACAAATGTCACTTAACCATAAATTATATTATTAAACCTAAACATTATTGATAATAATACCTCTATTTTGTCTATGTATTTATGTATTTCTATAGTATTTTTACGTAGGTTTTGCAAATAAATCCTAAGTTTGTTATATTTAAGTTCAAATCAAATCAAATCAAATCTTTATTTGCCAAACAAATGTACATCAATGATCTTATAATATTATATGTAGTAGTCCCAACTCAGAAGCCTTTTCCAGGCATTGCAAAAATTTGAGAGAGAACGCAGAAGAATAAATTGTTACACAAGTACAAGCATTTTTTGAACAATACAAATTAAGTGACTCAATGGTACAGTATAACAATCGAATAAAGCATGCAAAAATACGAAGGCACCCGACATTCTACATCACTAATACATATACACATTTTCCTACTGTCCCTAGCATTTCCGAGCATCACGACCGATTTTTCTTTTTATGATTTGTACTTAGGTATATGCTTTCTGTTTTCCGTGTAATAAGAAATGTAGTTTGTTAAGTGTTTTTTTCCTCAATGTATTCTTTAACAGAATAGAAACATTTTGTAATTAAGAATGCTTTTAGTTTTTTAATGAATAGTGTAGTCTTCGTTTCATTTTTTATGTGGATAGGTAATTTGTTGTATATTTTTACAGCCATGTAGTAAGGGCTCTGGTGTAGCATTTTAATTCTTGAGTTTAAGTTAAGTTAAGTTAAACTAGTTCACTCTTCATCTAGATAGAGATGTTTAATATATCTTACAATAGTAGGTATTATAATTTATTTCAAAGGAGTCAGAAGATTTTAGCTGTACCTATTGATACCTAAAACATTATGCCATAGTGAATGGTGTCAAGAGTTCCATGATAGACGTATATCAAGATAATTAGTTATGCCACTGTCTGAAGCCACGTCATGTCTGTTAGCCTTATTAGTTGTAAAAAATAACCATTACTTTTTTTTTATGTTAGAGGGGGCAGACGAGTAGACGGGTCACCTGATGGAAAGTGACCATCGCCGCCCATGAACGTCTGCAACTCTGGAGTCACAAACGCGTTGCAGGCCTTTTAGGAAGGAGTACGCTCTTTTCTTAAAGTTTTGAAGGTTTTTGATCCTGAAATATAGTTAAAGAGACTCTCTTTTTTTTACACAGTTATCTAGGTATTTTTAAACATTATGAAAACACAATCAAAATCGGTTTATCATTTAATGATAGCTATAGCTTGAATATCAAAGATTAACATACAAATGCAGAAACAAAGATATACAAAGAAAGAAAGAAAGAACCTTCTTTTTTATCTCGCTCACAATTTGAAAAGACGGTTTCTATCCTAATTTTAACTAAAAACTCTCACAAAGGACGTTTACCACATAGTATAGTTTAAAAATGTTGGTAATTATGTATACTTCATTCTTTAGAAACTAATCATCTCAATACTATTGTTATTTGAGAAATCCTAGTGTATTTTGTACTTCTAAATCTTTTAACAATACCACTAAACATAGCATTAATATTAATGGTATGGATGGTATCCTATTGTTGAAACATGGTAATCTATATCTTTACTGCACTTATATAATAATAAAGCAGGTTTTCCAAGATTATAAAAATTGCGATGAATAACAAAACAATGAGTAAGCATTTTTTTTCCACACGGTCCCCCACCTTTGTGGGGTTCAAAAATAAATTTACCTTTTTACCTGACCATTATGCAAGGGCCTTTGAAATTTTCATATTTATTTGTACCTGGAGTTATTACTGGTATAATATTAAAACATATTCCGACAAAATTAAATGTAAGTAAATTTAAATAAAGATTAATTCACGCTGTATGCCATTAAAGCAGCTATAAAACCGTCAAAATACAATAAAAAAGAAAACAAAACGTAACAACAAATCGTCAAGAAAAATCTCTTGACCCACTAAGTAACAAAGATACGCCTACACACAGTCCGGGACGACACTAAAACTAAATTATTACCAAGCCGCCGTTCACCAAGTTCGCAGCTATTCAATTTCCTACGCTATGCATCTCCGTCGTCGCATCCACTGCTTTGAATGCTCGATGCATATTTTATATAATCCTTTCATCAAAACGTCGAGTTCGCGGAAAGCGCTTTTAGTAATTCTCGCGAGCGAGCGAGAAGGAAGCCGCTGACAAACGGGGTGTCAAACAGCGGTGGGGATAAGACGCCAAAGCTCCCGCAGAGCACACAGAATGCAAAAATGGCGAGGCGACTAGTGACAAGGTGTCAGGAGGGGGGACCGTCACACCGCCGACCTCAGTTCAGCGCCGTCCACCGCGACAACCGCACGTCCCTTGTGTTTCAATAAGCACGCGCGACTTGTGATTTGTGTATCATGTGCTGACATCAAGCCTTGGATTTCGTGAAGTGATATTGTTGTGTGTTGTGGTACCTTTTATTTTTTTAAGCTGGAAAAGGATATTGGTTTGTGGAGCAACATGCTCACGTCAAGTAATCAGTATTTGCGGCCGGATTACCTGTCACCGCTTCCGACAACGGTAAGTTTGATTGATGATGACAAACTCTGTTTTCATATCCTCGCGCTAGCTTTGCGTTTCATATTTTATACAGTAGTTTAAGGGGACTTTTAAATTTTTGCGACGATAGAACTTCCAATAATTTATTTTAAACACCAAGCGACATCTTATTAAAAATAAGCTGATAATTGTGGAGCTTAAATACGCGTCCGTTTTCATACAATAATTTTCATTCGCAATGTTGATTAAGTAGTACAGTTGAAACAATTTTTTTAAAGAGTATAGTTAAAATATCGAAGCTTTTCAAGCTTTTTTTTTAATTTTACTTTCAATTTAAACTATTACTTCAGAGAGCGCTTCATTGAAATTAAAAAAGAACATAAATTTGCTAAAATTAAGAGCTAACAACACACGAAATGGATATAAAAAATATAGTCAATTATTAAATGCTGCCTAATTAAAGTAGTTTCGTAGTTGCATAAATAACTTCTGACAATAGACAATTAATCAAAATAAAATGAATGGTAAAGATTATAAACTTGACGCAAATTACATTTGGTGTAAAGTAAACTCAAACATATAAAGAAAAGATAAAAATCATTATTGTAGCCTTTGTTTTTACACTGATTAATGACTTATTATTAGAATTTTGATTCATTATGTTTACTATTTTTTTAAATAAATTATATCATTTAATTATTTATACTTAACGACTTGCATTAATTTGAATTCCTTAAATAATATAAACATTTTAAGCACCGCCTGGTTTACCTCCAAATGAATTAGGCATAGTATCTATGAAGCTATCATTATTTATTGAAATTCGTGACCTTAAAAAGAGTAGTCCTGCCTCTTGTACAGTTAAATAAAAATCACTTTCAAGAATAAATTCGTTGCAAAATCTGTTATACTTTTCTAAATAACCCGAACATATCCATATTTTATACTATAAGATGTTAAGTAATAAGCAACGTAATTGGTCTAAATAGCACAAAGAGTATCTTGAAGAAAATCTAATACTTCATGAAAAGTTGTTTTAAAAGTAACTATTGATGTAAAACGTAATTAATAGATTCAAGCTAAATTCTAATAAGAATCTGTTATCGTAAAGCTTAAATAAACTTTGAGGAAATAGCGTAAGTAAAACAGAAAACATATTCTAAGCACGGTTGAACGGCGGCAATAGACGTGACAACATGCCACAAGTTCAGGCGTGCCGCAAATTCAGCGGCACAAATTGCCCTTTTCACTGCGAGATTACATCATGCGGGAGCCGAGTGAAATGTCAAGCGGAGCCGACGGCTGCCAGACACGCGGATAATGGCGCGTCGGCCGCGTGATTGGACGCCCTCCTCCCCCGCGTATACCCGCCACATAGCCCCACCAACCCGCACCGCACCCCCGCGGTCCCTTTGTACGCCCGTCACTCGCAACCTCGACCCGACGTTTCATTTCATAAACTGCTTCTCTTTGTTGCAGCTCGACGCGAAAAAGAGCCCGCTGGCGCTACTGGCGCAGACATGCAGTGCTATCGGTGCGGATACACCCAACCCTAAACTGATTTCTGCTGCCGAGAAAGCCAGCAAAAAGTACGACGAAAAGTCGCACATACCAGACAACAAACCTAGCTTCAAGCCTTATGAATCGTGCCTCACAGCGAGAGAAAAGACTAGAACACCAGACGACCGAGGGTCTGTCAATGCCTCTTCAAAGACACCGCTTTCGTCAAAGGGCAGTGCGTCGACAACTCCGGTGCAGGCGCGTTGCGCTAGTAATCAAAGTTCTTCATCACAGAGGACGCCTCCGCCCGCTCACCGTAAGACACCGTCAGAAAAATCTGATGAGAGGTCTAGCCCTCTCCATTCACCTGTCCCCGTGAAGACATCCGAATCAAATAGCAGCTCATCTAAGTTACCGTACACACCCACCTCTCTCACATCAAATGCAGACACCAAAGAACATTCAAGCTTCAAACCCAGCATACCTGTTAGCTCTTCTGCCTTTTTTGGGGGATTACCTCAAACTGGATTTCCACTGCAGATGGATCTAATGACGAGTAGTTTGATGGCGGCACAACATCACGCTTTAAAGAATGGGCTAAACCCGTATCTCGCTTATGCGAGAATGAAAGCGTCCGGCAGTGATATCGGAATTTGCAGGGATCCTTACTGCACAGGTTGTTCGTTAAGCTCACATTTGCTCAAATCTGCTGTATGCCCAGCGGGATGTGCTCAATGCGATCATGCTAAAACTCCATTCTCTCTACCGACAAGTCACCCTGCAGCAGCAGCGTATGCCCACGCGCAACTGGCAGCCTTAGCAGCTGCATCGCAACTTCCGTACGTTTGCAGTTGGATGGCAGGCGACTCTGCGTATTGCGGCAAGCGATTCGCAACGTCAGAGGAATTGTTGCAACACTTAAGATCACACACGGCGAGTGGAGAATCAAGCCCGAGCCTGTCAATGCTCAGCGCAACACACCCATTGCTGCAGCGTACATACCCGACGCCACCACTATCACCGCTGACACCGCGGTTCCACCCTTACAGTAAGCCACCCCACATGGTGTCATCACCACCGCTGCCCTTCCCAATGCCGCCACATCCCTCTTTGGCAGCGTACTTCCCGCCATACCCGCTCTTCGGACCACGTCCTCTGCACCCTTGAGGACCATCGGCGCTCCACGGACACAAGAAGGGGGGCGCCGACCGCTAACGCCCATGCCAAAAGGACATTTGAAACCGAAGTATATGTATATATAGGTTAGTGTTCTTCGCGTTTCTAGTCGGCCCATATCATCGACGGAAGTGTATGCCCCCGCGGGGGCCACGACAGCTGTGATCTCTAACTCGTAATCATTATAATTAGTGCACTGAACGCTTTGTCGTAACCGCGTGCGCGGATTTTAATTTTCTAGTTAGACTAACGAAATTTTTATGTACCAAATCTATAGTTTGTAACTTAAATTGATTTTGTTTAAATTTAAGTTGTTGCAATTAATTAGTGAGGGTTGTTAATTGTGTTTGTATTTTTAAGTAAAAACTGTTTTCTTATTTAGCGGCACATGTTCTGTCACATATCTTTGTAATTAAATAGTATGCGCCATGACTGAAAGTGTATTGTAGTCGAGTCGAAATTAAATTACAGATAAAATGTTACCGTAACTATTCGTTTCTCTTAATGTAATTACTACTTTCAGTTTAAAAAAATGATAAGATCTTAAGAATCTCACGAAACTCTTATTTCAAAAAAAATGCATTGTAATGCTTGCAAAACCAGCATTTTATATTTATAAACATATATATACATAGTACACCGTCATGTTGAATTATTTCACAAATTTTACATACATATAGTGTGAAAGTGGAGTGCTCGTGTACAACATTCATGATAAATTAATAAACACTGTAATACATGCAACTGATATCTGTTGATATAATTAATAAATTTGTTGTTATAAAGGCATAAAGCGAAAAAAATATACGTAAATATTTAATTTCAAAACTCAAGTTTTTAATTTCTAAAACCCTCTAAGTTTTTAGTGTTAGTTAACAAGGATGCTTATCTGTTAATGTATGTATATTGACAAGACTTAACGATATAGCAACGCATTGAGTTTGAAGTCATATGTCATTGTGACACATGTCAGTCATTTGACATAAATAAATGGTTGACACGTGAAAATGCCTCAGGAAAATGTTTCCAATGCATTTGTAAATGCAGGATGCAATACTTGTGTTACATGTTAACAGTATGAGAAATAACAAAGGATGAGCAAATAGCTCAATTATGTTCATCAATTCTAAATGAACAAAGTTGAAACAATAGACTAGACAAACAGTAACTGCAAAACTGAAGTGGTAAAACATCGCAAAACTAATAAACGATATTTTTCTTAGTTCGCATGACTCAAGCAACGTCGTACGTAATTAGGACTGGTGCGGCTTCCACTACAATAAATTATAAGCAATTTATCTGTCTGTCTGTCGCCATACATCATGTTCTGTGCAGCATTTACTAGCGTTGAAATATTATGACCAATGTGCAGGGTGGACGCACCATTTGTCTGCCTAGATCGTGGTTATTATCTGCAAGTGCTACTTTATGATCGTGTGAAGTGATTTTTAGTAGGCAATTTATTATACACTTTGCGCACCAAAGTATTTATAACACTAAAACTGGTTGTTCATATTTCATTAACATTTTGACAGGTGCGTGTCCTGTTAAATGCTTGTAGGTTTTGTGCTCCTTTCAAATACAATTCAAAATATAGAAAGTGGTGTAATAAACAAATCCATATGCGAAAGAGTGTCCATCTTTCTGTCGGTCTGACTGTATACCAAATTTCAGCAATTTAAGTGTGAATAGGTAACAACCTCTTCACACTTAAACCGCTGAAATTTGGTATAGAAATAGTCTGAGTCCCTTGATAGGACAAAGGGTTGTTTTTATCCCAAAAATCAAACGTAAAGGAAGTGAAAAGGGGAGTGGAAGCTTGTATAGGGAATGAAGAACCTCTTAAATTTGGTATGAAGATGCTTTAATTCTTGAAAAAAAAAACCGACTTTTGCCGAATTATTAATAGCTTTTAATTATAACAATAAGAAACATTATATTTAGCAACAAAATTTTAATATGAATTTTAATAATGCACTAAATGCCGTTACACATTCTAAACATAATAATTAATTATGTATAATTCAAATAACGCTCTTCATATCATTTATAAATTGCGTTAACAAAAACATTGTTAATATGTATTTATGTATATTTACGTATAATAAAATTTTATAGTTTCCTGCAGATTTCGAAATTTAATATGCCAAGAATATTTATATTATGGACATATCCAAAGCATAATTTTCGCATTATTATATTCATTAATGTCATATAGTCAAATAAAATGACTTTATTCCGCTGGTCTAATATTAAAAATATAAAATATATTCAATTTATAACTGAATTTTTTACTTAAAATTCACATAATAAGTTACTACTAAGAATTTATTCCATGTCCACTAGTACAAAGTATGTAATAGAATAAATTATAAGAATAATTATATAAAATATAGGTTTAATTTGTAAAAACAAATTATCACATTTTATAAATAATATTCTGTCATATTTGGTAGTAAAGTGAAGATAATTAACTTGAATACTTAAAATTCTAAATAATTAGTATGATTATGAGTATGTGCTGCTAAGGAACAAGTGAAAACCGGAGGTTTTAATTTTACGTAACGCATGCTTAGTAAATGAAGATTAAATGAGATATTTTTACACCAATTTCTTGAAAGACAATATTTATATATATATATATATATATATATATATATATATATATATATATATATATATATATATATATATATATATATATATATATATATCACACATCTCACACACGGAAGTCTGATCCCAAACTAGGCAGAGCCTGTACTATGGTAACCAGACTACTGATAAACATTACATTACATGATTATATATTTTTAAATAGATACATATTATTATTATAGATAAATTACACCCAGAACAAATGACCGTGCTCATCACACAATATTTGGCTCGGGTGGGAATCGAACCCACAACCTCCGATTTAGCAGTCAATGTCACTAACCACTAGACCAACATGCCCGTCAATATGCTAGTTAAGTGCTAGCAAGTCAAATTATATATTTATAATTTAACGTTAACTATTGAATGATATTTGATGTAGATTGTAAGCATTAACTATCTATAACGAATATGCTAATAAAGTTTCAACAATTCTGCAAAAAATATAATTTAAAAATACTTTTAAAAATGGACTAATTTAAATACCTTTTTTATCACTCGGAAACCTTCATCATCACCTCACTATCAGTAGATTTTGGAGATCGAACCGACTACAGCAAATACCACACGGTATCACGAAACAAATGGGTCTCTGTCGAGGGATTCAGGTATTTCCTAGGAAGGAAGTCATTAACAAAATTTGAATTTACATTGATATTAAGCACAAAATCTAGTATTTAAATAAAATAATTACCTACATTAAAATCTATACTAATATTATAAAGCTGAAGAGTTTGTTTGTTTGTTTGAACGTGCTAATCTCAGGAACTACTTGTCCGATTTGAAAAATTCTTTAAGTGTTAGATAGCCCATTTATCGAGGAAGGCTATAGGCTATATATCATCACGCTAAGACCAAAAGGAGCGGAGCATCAATGAAGAATGTTTCAAAAACGGAGAAAATTTATTACTATTCAGAGACGCAGACGAAGTTGCGCGGGTCAGCTAGTTAACAATAAATGAAAATTAAATAACAGAATCTTTGCTATAAGTAGTCATTTTATTATTTCAAGTAAATATGAGAAAGTGTGCAAATAAATTATTTACATAACAGTACTTCCGGCCGATGTTTAGTGCTCTCACCACAGGGCAGATTCGTAATACATCTCGCCATCTTGCCAGATATTGAATTAATAAGATGTTGAAATGCTCAGTACGTACCAAAGTTAATTATAATCGGATTATTTATGTTAAACTATCATTTACTTCGCTTTGATTAAAATTATTGTATACGTACATTGTTGGAATGCTGTATATAGTAATTATTAAGTGATTTTCTCATAAAAAGCATATCAAAGTGACAAGTAAAAAAATATCTGCAAAAATCATCAATCATCATCAACAGCCTATAACAATCCACTGCTGGACGTAGGCCTCTCCTTAGAAAGGCGCCTACGCCTTTTGGCCTACTATACCACGCTGGCCAGACAGGTTGGTATTGGTTTTGTTTCAAGATTTCCTTCTCTTTGCAGTGCGGTTGTCCTGACTAGTTTGCTCCCTTAGTCGGCTCTTACGACACCCACGGGATGAATAGGGGTGGTGAGATTTTGTATTCTTTATCCGTCACCACACGGACAAACCAAGAGGTTTTAATATTATAAACTCCAGAAGTTTTATAATATGAAGGGTTTTTAAAAATGCTCTACAAAACTACAATTGGACTTCACTGATTAAGATATTCTGAAGGGAAAAAGTCAGTAAGGGTTTGCTTTAAAGGATTGGTCGAAAGGTTTTACTACCAGTAATCCCTATTACTCTGCTAAAAAGCCAAATGTAAAAATAGCCTAAGTTACTCCTTATATATACAACTATTTGGTAGTAAAATATTATCAAGACAGACAGACAGACAAACAAAAATTTTTAAACTAGTTATTAGGCATAAGGATCTTGCAAATAACCGTGTAAGCAAAAATATTATTTTGACACTACAAACAGACAATTCAATTTTATTTTTTGTATGTATAGATAAACAAGGTAAAGATTTTGGCCAAATATTGGACATTTGCGACTCTCCAAATAATTAAAACTTTATTTTTATACGGTCTCCGCTTCTTTCTAAAAGAAAAACATACTCGTACAACAAGAAGTGATGGACCAGCTGATCTAGTTCTAAGTGATCCTGACTGCTTAGCTTAGAGTCGTGGATTCGATTCCCACCCAAGACAAATTTCAAGCATGATCATTTGTTCTATGTCTGGGTGTAATTATGGTTTACTATCTTTATTTCCTCAGAGTAACAATATTCTCAAGATAAAACTAAAAGAGTGTACAGAAACAAACTTAAATATTACAAACTTAAAAGTAAACAAGAAAAGTACGCCACATGAAAGGTAA